AAAAAGGATTCTGAGTTTGAAGACAGCTTAACAAACCTGGGGCCACGAGCACTACTTTAAGACAGGCAAAAGAAATAAAGTCAGAGCAACAGCAGAGTAAAACAAGCGGCTGTAAGCAGACATCCCTGAACTCCTTCCGATGCAGACAACTGCAAACACCCCTCCATCCCCACCGCTGCCTGCCTGTGCGGCTGTTGTCAGGAGGCCTCCATCTCCCCCATCACTGGGCACCCCAGCAACGCAGTGACAAGAGAGGACAGGATGGGCCTTGGGCCTTACTGGGCACATCCCCTCCCCTGTGCCCTCCCCACCGGCTGAGGAGGGACACAAAAGCAATACTGTCTGTCCTTATAAGCTCTGCTTTGCATGTGTTCAGGGAGCAGGGACAGCTGTGCGGACGGCTCACAGAGTTCCAGGAAGTCGATGTGTTTCTTGGCTTTGACTCCAGTTTATTTGCCTTAGATGAAGTGGCGACCCGAGAAAGTCCCTTCGCGTCCCCCCTGAGCTGGCACTGGCCACAGGTCCCTGGGACATGGCTAGGGGTCTCTCCCCACACCCATGGCCTTCTCCAGTACAGCTGCCACATCTCTCCCTGGGGCTGAGACTGGCTTTTTCCCCACCTGGCAAGGGGACAGCCCTGGGACACAGCGTGGGAGAGGGTGGGAGCCCGGAACAAAGCCAGGACCAGAGGGAGCAGGCCCTGAAGGCTTTTCCCTTGGCAGGCAGGATGGAGGTGACTTGGGAAGGTGGGAATGGGTCAGGCGAGCAGCATCATGCTGCCTGCCAAAACCACAGCATGGCCCTGATGGAGCCAAGGACAAGGGACAGAGCAGAGGGACAAGAGGAAGCCAAAGTGAGAGCCATCTCTATCACGCATGTCTCCCTGCGGAACAAGCCAAGGAAGGGGAGGCGTGCCTGCCCAAGGGGAGCCCCAGCCCAAGACACAAAACCTCATCTGCTGGAACTCCTGCCTCAGATCAGCAAGAGGGGATGAGAGATGCAAAATGAGGAAACAATCTAAAACGTAGCTCTGTGGGTTTGGGTTTGTTTGGTGTTTTGGGGTGGGGTTTTTTTTTGGTGGTTTTTTTTTTTCATTTTTGCTTTGCCCTGCCAAATCCAGTTGACTTAGAACACTGGAGGGGGGGAAGCTATAGCTTGACATCCCATCACCTACACGGCTAAGAAAGCACTGTGCTGGGGGAACCAGATACTTGTCCAAGAGCCTGAGGGATGAGCTGGATGGATTGCACTTGGGAAAGCCAAATGGAAAACATTTCTGAGTAACAGAGAAGAAAAGCAACCTCCCCTCCAAACAGCCTGAATTACAGCATCCCTTGGCTCCCCTGGAGGAGAGGCTGCAGGGACACGGGGCGGGCAAAATGGGACACTGGGCTTGGCTGGGTAGCTGTGACGGAGAGCCCCGACAATATATGGCCAGTCTAAACCACGGGATATCTTGTCCTTTTAAGGTGGGCCAAGAGCAAGCATCTGTGCAGCAGCAGCAGTACAGTCCCTGCCTGCCATCAATAGCCCCTGGTGTCACTGAAAAAACAGGGGCTTCTGTGCCATACCAACTGGCTGTGCAGATGCCCAGGCACCCACCCCAAGAGGATACAATCCATCCGGTTGTTCCTCTGCACAGCATCACGGAAACAAGAACAGTAGTGACTATAGGAAGAAAAGCCACAAAACCATGCTGGCTGCTCAGCTTGCTGGCAATTGGTGCCTGCAGCTGTCGGGGAGGGAGGGAGGCAAAAAGGGAGGGCCTATCCCTGTCACCATCCCCTTCCCTGTCCCTAGCCCTGATGGCCAGCAGCTCACCCAAGAGCAGCTTCAGACCCACGACTCGAAGTGCAGGTTTAAAGTGAGTTTCTGCTGGGAGAAACAAGAGACATTTCACTCCCTTCATGCTTCCTCTTCACACTCAGCCAAGAGCTGTGTGTGTGCAGCAGGATGAGTTGAGCAGGGATTAGAGAGGCAGGACAAATCATGCCAAGGAAGATACAGAAAATCTCCTGCGCTAGTGCCTGTTTCATGTGTGGCACCCTGGTTGCAATACTCTTCGTCCAGGATGGATTTAGAGAGAGCTTCACAGAGGGCCTGAATGCACATGCAATTTTACAGAACCAGGTCTGGAAACAGGGTAATCCAAACCAAGACTCTCCTTTTGGAGTAGCTATGTCCCACATGGTGTTTCACCACTGTAACTGCATCCACATGCTAGCAAATTTCCTTGCACAGGCAAGCCCAAGGTGGAGAGCACGGGGTCGCTTACCACAGAGCCCCAACACATCCTTTACATCCCAACTGCACTGTGTTTGCAGGATGTGCCAGACCACTCTGTGCCTGGAGCCTGCAGCAGGTAGCATGCCGAAGCACTTTACACCTTGCAAGATAATGTAATAAAATGATGCACAATTTGAGAAGAGTAGAAATTACAGGGATTAAAACTCATTTCCTGGTGGTAGCGTTGTCAACCACCATGATTTTATCACAAGCCCTGTAAAAATCTGGTGGTATTACATTACTGCACAGAAATCTAAAACTCTTTTTTTTTTTTTTTTTTTAACTAAAACTTCCAGATTTCAGTGTTGTGGAGAAAAGACAGAAACATTCCATGCTCAAAAGAATACAAAAAGCAAATGGAAGTGAACAGATTAATTTTAAAGCCTCCAGCTTTTAAGGATAATCATCATCTCAGATGCTCAACCTGTAATTTCTTAACACACACACACACACACACACACACACACACACACACATACACACACACAGAGCCCCCAATAGCAAGAGTGTCCCATCTTTAAGCAGCACGTTTTGTACCCTGGATCATACAATTTCCAAAACTGAAATGGCTTTTTTCATTTTTTAAAGAGGGAAAAGAATCGCTGCATCTCGGCACATTTCTAGTGTTTTAAGTTAAAAGCCAGCACAGCTGCACTTTAATGCTACTTAAAGATGAGAACCTCCACCACATTACCAAACTCATTTTCAGCTGAAGGAGATTCAACATGCAAATATTTTGCAGAGAGAATGATTCAAGAGTTTGCAGCTTTTCTCACTGCTGTTTTCCAGGGAGCATGACTTGCTGACAGGATTAACTACTGCCAGGCTCACGAAGCTGGGAGACAGCTGCCACATGGCAGCCATTTACTACAAAGCTCTACTCCTCTAAAGTTAGGAGAGAGGCAGACTATTTCATCTGTGTTATCAGCAGGGTTCCTCTGCTCCACAGGCTTTAGTGACTAGGCTTTTTCTAAACAAACACCTCCTTTTCTCCCCCACCTTGTTAACATCATTACCTTCCTGTCTTCTGTTTCTGGTCAGCACAGGAACTATTCCTCCTATCACGCTCCCCAAACAACAACAGCAACAAAAATCTACAATCAAGACAATCTAAAACATTCAGAAACACGCATACCCCCCAAAATAGATCTTTTAATTATTTTTAGCTTAAAATTTTAAGAGGGGAAACCACATGCCACAGGGAGGAAAGACAGTTGTGCTGGAGCAAAGGGATCCAGAAGCATCCACCAGCATTTGTGATGCCAGCCTCCAACTGCAATATCCAAAGCTGCTACACAGCTTTCCCATTAACAAGGTAACCTGTAGCAATTCTTCTTAACTTGTATCTCCACACCAGGCAGACTCTCTGCAGACCCACAAGCCAAAGCCAACCCCTGCCTACACCTTATGAGGCACAAACAGGTCTCAAGTCAATCACCTCCTACAGTCTGCTGAGGACCAGGAACAGATATACACCATCTACATCATCTCCATGTGATATTCAGCATATATGACCATCGGTTGCTATTCTCCTCTTATTTTGAACCAGAGTTACAAGATACAAGCTAGAAGTTTAATTTTACCTCTGGTAATATCTATCTATCTGCTATAGATACTAAGAGTACGACAAATCATTCAAACTGAGGTTTATTGCTTCCTCTAGGTAAAGGGAGAACTCAGCCTTAGAAAAATGTCTCTCCCATCACTGATGATCAAGCTGTCACTGATGATCAGTCTCGTGAGCATGCCCACTGGCATATACCAGCTGGACATGTAGCCTTCAGGGCTGTTTGCAGAGCTCTGAACTCTGAAATACAAAGTTCTCAGTTTTAGTTAGGTAAATTAATTACATCAGCAGATGGTGCTGGCAAGCCTCTACCAGGTTGAGATTCCTCACAGGAAAGCCACTAGGAAAATTTTAAACAGCAATGCTACTTGCCTGTGGTATTCTTCGGTAGGAGTTTTCTTTCTATTTTGAAGAACACACAGTGAAACTAACCTGTGGGAGGTGCTTCCTGCACACTTCACAAAATGAAACAGCATCTGTTAGTTTTCATAGACTGCAACATGCATGCAAAAAGATGGGGCACAGGGATCCAGTTCAGCAGCTTCTCATGGAATTCAGAAGCACCTCAGCTTTATCATATAAGAAGCCTCAGAAACGACGTATCTCTGTCTGACTTGAGAAAAGATGTATTTTCAAAACAAGAACTGCATACACGCAAACATACACACAAATCCCCCTTCATCCACAACCACATCCAGCTGCTGACCTTCCATGTTCCTTATAGCATAGCCTTTGCTCTGGGACTTTAAAGCCTAGCAGGCGTTTCTAAAGGGTTTTACAAAGTACACAGGCCCAGCCTTGTAAAATCTCATAAGGAATCCACGGAGGTCATCGTGGAGCTTGGACAGTCTGCAAACAGCATAATCCACGTGCTGGGAAGGTAAGGAATGACCAAAGTCAGGCACATAGGCCTGAAGATTTCTGCAGTTACTGGCTCCTCCAACAATGCTGTAAACCCTGGAGGAAACGCCTGCTGATCTTCAAAGCCTGTCAGAAGGAACAGCCTTAAGTTTCCTGAACATGAGCATTCTGGTTGAGAGGCCATAATCCTCTTATGTACGCAGAGAGAAATATAAAAACAAAGCAAACAACAAAAAAAATTACAATCCACTAATGTTAATAACTGTAAGTAACCAGTGAGACTGACCCTCTACTCTGCAACGAGCTGTCGGATCCATCCAGCAAAGTTTTGATGCTCTTCGGCACAACAGCCACACGGATCAAGCAGCAGCTTACAATCTCTGCAGCTTTCCTTTTTCTAGTCCAGGCAGTACTCCACACGTGTAGACTCCTGGAACTCAACACTCAGTCGTTCGGACTAGGAGGGGATGCTACAACCAGTAGGTGTGCAAGGTGTCCAGCGTAACTATATCAAGACCATTGCAGTGTGTGCTGCACTGCCGGCAGAATTTTAGGTACAGCCTTCAGTCGCCTGACGGGCTGCACAGGCGACCATGAGTAAAGGGGAGTCTGGACACCTGCACACTGCAAAGAATTGCAGGAAGTTTATTTCAGGAACGCTGGGGAAAAAAAACAACAAAAAACAAAAAAACAAAACAGACAAAATTGTGAACAGGTTTCTTCAGTAAATGAAGTTTCAAGTTGCTAATTCTCCAGCCAAAAACGTCTGCTGCTAGTCCAAAACCACCCTCCTCTTCCAAAAAAGCAATTCCAGTGCTAGCGCTTCACACACTGCCATCAAACACATGATACACACAATTCTTCCCACAATTCATGTCTGAAAAGGCAAACTCATTTCCTTCTGCTGACTCCCATTGACATGTAATATACCATAAAGTTAGCCTGAAACAAACTCTCATGAATTATGTGTAAATTCAACCCAACCCTGAGTAAAACATCAGCTGCAAGTTGCATAGAGAAAAATGAATGACAACAAAAACCCAAACAAATGGCCTGTGTACCCACACCCACCCACCCCAGTTTCTGCAGCAGAACAGCAAAAGTTTGCCAGTGGGACCTTGACTAATCACTTTCATATATGCCCACATAGTGAAGCAACACTGAAGTATCATAATCAGACCTATGATACTGAAATTCATGTTCTTTTGAGGAGTGATATTTCCATGTGAACATTTTATCAGTCATATATACATACACACCCACACAGGCACTTTCTTTTAATCCTAAAAATGAAACCACCTTGCTTTACAGTTTTAAACCAGTATATACAATATATATATGCGCACACACATATATTTTATATATACACATTTACATGAATCTTGCTGAGGTTATGTAGAATCTACTCTATGACCAGAGGTGAACAAGACCTGAAGTGTTTTAAAACACCCACAAATGGAAAAATAATTAAAAAAAGATAAAATTTGTTATTGTTCTTTGATCAGGTTACAGTCCTCTAAAGGAACAAACTATTTACACCCAGATGACAGATCCCATTCTCCAAACTTCATATAAAAAAATCACGCTCTTTCAGAGCAAAAGGAAAGGAAAAAAGAAAACCTTTACACCAGAACTCATGCTTTCACTCAGGTACTAAATAGCAGGAGCTATCTTCCACTTCCAGTTCAGACATCACTGTTTTGTAGCAAGTTTTATATGCCTTATGGAGCTCAACCATTCAATATAAAGAGAATCGAGAGAAGAATTCAAGGAATAGGTAGCCGCCTCACCTGTAGAGCAGACAAGCATGTATTTAAATGAGTTAAAATACAAAACGAAGAGGAAAAAGCAAGGAAAACCACCAGCTAAATACATTATTTCTCACTGTAAGGTGAAAACTTTTCTTAATCTACCCACTCATTTCACACATGGTAATGCACAACTATCATTTGAACAAAAATTAGAAGAGTTACCACCAGATTTGTTTCACTCATTCCTTCATCTAGACTTCAAATGGGGTTTCTGAAGCTCGAAGATTTCACCATCCCTCCTTACTGGCAACTGAAGACAGAAACTGGCCTCTTCCTCACCTATTAGTGTCTGGCATGCCACAAAGGCTATGGAGGTAGGCACCCACATAAACAGAAATGGCAGTAGCACCATGTTCCGTATATTTCACACCAAACTTGAAACATTAAATACAGATTTGACATTAAAACATGAAAGCTGAAAAATTCAAAGGTTTCTCAGCAAATACACCCCTTTAGAACTTCCTAAAATCTCTAAACATGGATAATTTCTGAAGTAATGAGGACTTTAAAATAGCAGTAAGGGAGCTCCCTGAAGGGTGGGGTAATTGGGAGGGTTATCACACCTCTGGGGGGAAGTCACAGGCTCTATCTTGGCAGTGTTCCATTCCTTCATATACCCAGGGGACTGATTAGTTCATGATAAGCAATTAGGCACCCTAGGGAGGACGGTTAACCGTCTTACCAAAACAAAAAGGCTGCACAAATGTAAGTCTCACTAGATTAAAGAAACACTATCTGAAGAACAGCAAATTTGTGTTTGTTCCCTTCTACTGGAACTAGCAAATATTACATTTTGCCTACATATGGCACACACAGATCTCAGAATCCCAAATTTGAGCACGTACTTGCTGCTAAATTGGTAACAAATGCTCTGAAGCATTTTCTTTCCCAAGACACCAGTGCTGTGATGCAGGAAAAAAGGAGGAGGGACAGACGGGAGGAATACAGTAAATAATTAGATGACTTGAACTAGCAATCAATCTTGTTCATTTAAATTCTCTTCCTCATTGTTAAAACGGTTCCTAATCAGGGGATCAGCTGCAGAAAGGGGGACCTAGAAAAGCTATCTATGGCTGAATGTTGGTTGCATTTCAGCACAGACTCCCAGTTAGCAGCAGCCCCACCATTACACACCCTGCTCCTTAAAAAGTTCTGGGAAGCTCCTGCCTGCTGTGAGGCTTGCAGCAAGGCACCTATGCGTATCGCAGTCATACCCACACTAAACATTTATCTCTGGTGAAGCAGAAAGATGAATTCACCTTTTGCTTGCCAACTGATGTAAAAGCTCCAGTACACACCAGACCTGCCAATGGTGCTGTTTCTGACTAACATCAGGCCCAATGTATTTCAAAATACTCGATGGCTTAATATACGAAGGAATGCTTTTCAGTTAGACGACCTCCTGTTCTTTTCTTTCCTTTTATCTTTTCTTAACAGTTTGCCATCCAGTGATAGGAGGGAACCCCAGCTGCATAGCCTGAGCTTTTATCTTCTGCTGACCATGCAACAACACAAAGCTCAGTGCTGGATTTCCTGCTGCTTGCCGAAAGGGGCTGTTCAGCTTGTTTAAATATTACTTGCCTTGGGAGCCTTGGAGTTGTGCCCAAGCACTGTACTGTATCTTCCCGGCATCCATTTCAGCATGTACTTTAAAGGTCTTTAGGTTCGATGTACTATGCTCTCCCTTGCTACGGGAGGAGCCTGATGCCTCTGGAAGAATCAAAAAGAAAACCCACCAGACTCCTCCCTCTCTCCCCATTAATCCCTGTGCCTCATTCCATTACACAGCTAACAGAAGTCCCTCTTCATCCCAAAACCATGAAAACATATTTAGTCCAGTAAACTGAACCAATTGCAAGCAAGGAAAAGACATTCTGGTACAAAAGGCTACAGCTGGGAAGAAATCAGATGCTGCGTATCACGTACAGCAAGCTACCAGTGCTCAGTGAGCAAACTGAGAAAGTACAGTAGCAAAAGCAGGCTTTTAAGACGACAAAGGTGCAGCAGCCTCTTGCCATGCTAAATTAGGGCAGTATCCATAGTAGGTTATAGAAGAAAAGAACCTTCGAACACAACCTTCTCTGAATTTGCAAACTTAACATCAGGGTACTTTCTTTCCTTGTTCAGAGCAATGATGAAAATAAAACACAGCTTTTACAAAAGCAGAAAGGATATTCCACCCTTTACGAATTCTTTCAGAAGCTCTCCTCAATTTCCGTGCCACCAGAGCCTGAGTTCTGGCTACAAGGTCAGCAGGGAGATAACCTTGGCCAATAGAAATGATCTGCATCAGCCAAAGGCAGCACCACACGGCCACCCATTAAGCAGCCCGGCAGGCCTCACTGTTAACCTGTTTGCAGCCGATAACAGCTGATATGGATGGAGAAGGAGGAGATAAAAATCCAGATTCACAAACTGTTTGTAAAAGTTGTGGAACAGCAGTCTGAATAAAGAAAACTTTAGTGAATACTGGCTGCAAGTGCCCTGTAAAAAGATGCTTCTCATATTTGACAGCAGCAGAGATGCAGAAATACATGCACCCCCACAAGCTGACACAGAACTGCAGTCACAAGGGAACTGAAGGCTAGAACTGAAATCCTGGGTTTAATCCATTGTGCTTCGCCTCAGCCTGCAGTGTACAGAGTGATTCAACCTGATGTAAGCCACGGCTGTCATTCAGGACAGGCTGGCAGTCCTCACGTCACCCCACAGCTCCGGCCACAGTTCCCCATCCAGCCTTGTGCCAGTCCTGGTGTTTGAACAACCCCCCAGTGATCCGGGATCACATAATTGATCTGGTTCGGGATTTACGTTTCTTGGGGTTTGTTTTGGTTTTTACTTAAAAATGTATGTACACATAGTTTCATCAACAGCCTTCACACAGGGGAGCTGAGACATCGTCAAATTACACCCTCTATTTGAGTGAGGGATGAGAGACCTGAGCAAGAATGTTGTTGGTAACTCTACTCCCGTGGTGCTGCAGTACCGGTGAAAGATGAAAAGATGCAGTGGAACGTACCCACAGCCGGCTCCATCTCCCGACTCCCTCCTCCTGCTCCCCGTTGCTCCCCTCTCTCCAGCTCAGAGTTTGCTTGCAACCCCTCTGCCATAAAGAACACTCCTATCATTTAAAAGTCAACCTGAAGTTCAGTTCTTCAATTAAACCCATTTACATGAATGTAAGTTCACAATAATATAAACTACAACAAGCAAAATGTCTGCACTGCACCTCTCCCACAGCATCCCTGGAGGAGGAGTTCAAGAGAGCAAGAGCAGTCCCAGACAATGAATGCTTACTGCTTTCCTAGATCAAGGACTGTGTGTACCTTTTGCACTGTGCTAAGCACAATACAAAACACTAGTCCAAGCTATCCCTCTTCCCTCCCTGCCTCCCTTGCTCTTTAAACAAGCATCATTTTCAACTTTTTTGTCTGTCTGTAAACATTCATAAATGACCCTTTCCCCATGCACAGAGATAAAATTTATCCCTCCAACACAACTCGTGCTTCATTAAGTCACATCAGTAACAGTGCTGATGCAGTCTGCCACCATGTGCCACCACATGTACCAACCACAGCTCCAGAGTCCCTGGTAAGTAGGGCAAGCAGCTCACCTGGAGTTCTCAGGTACTTTAGAAACAATATTTACAAACCCTGGGTCCTTGGACTTAACAGCACAGTGGGAATGGCACACATGCTCCTGCAAGGGCGGCTGACCCTCTCCAGAGAGCAGCCTTTATTGTAAAATGCATCACCTTAAGGGGACAGGATGAGACACAAGTGGAGAAAAGAAACCAAAGCTGCAGAGGGAAAGGACGGGTTGCCTGGCTGCATGTCCTCAGGCGCTGCTAGCTCACGTTGCTTGCACCATCTGATCGCTCAAAGCTAAACATGGAATGTAGGTAGCAAGTCATAACACTGCGCAGGGCTGGAGACGTGACCCATCAGCTGTTTCTGCATTATAATTATTGCACTGGGGCACAGCAGGACCAGAAGTTTGCCTGGGCAGATTTCTGCAATGTTTTGGCTTGTTAAAAATGACAAGAAAGGCCAGACCCGCTTTCAGCTTTGTGATTACACTCGCTTTTCCGCAGGCTCATCTTTCCCTGTTTAAAATCCTCAATCCGCAGGAAAAGCAGAAGGCCCAAAATTATTGCACTTTTTTCAAAGCAGCATTAAGCAGTCAGATTTCATAGGCTGTGATTGCTCTCTCCCCCCTCCACAAGCTAGAAAGGAGTTTCCCACAAAGACGCAGCAAACCAGCACTCCTGAACCACCATTCCCTGCACTTCTAAGCTGGTCTTGGTCATTTCCCCTTCAGGCTACTTCTGCTCCCAGGCTTTCTCTTGCTGTCTTTATTTTTAAAGTTTCTGCTACCAATAAAAAAAAAAGAAAACCATATTGCAATACCATCATTCCCTTGTATTATCATATTCTCTAGTGAACTGATTAATTCTCAGAGTGATCCTGACCCTCAGCTCCCAGTGGGCCTCAAGTGATGCAAATGGTCTCTTTCAGCTCTTCCTCCATTTTATTTTTGTCCTAACATGCACAAAATACAAGTACAGGACTAAGTGTTGCAACTCTGGGCTTAAAATGCAAACATCCTCACTGATGGAGCTGGAAAGGAACACTTCACTTCTAGGCACTCTGACTGCTTCTGTAACATGTTCAGAATTAAGCAAAGCTCAAAAAGGACAAGTCAGTAAGGAAATCATTTAAGCCAGTGTATATTCAACATGTCTTACTGCCCTAGCTTGCCCTGTAAGCAAAGCTTAAGTTATTAAGAGCACAGTTTGTCAAGCAGTGTGACATTAATTTTAGTGCAACAGGTCAATGGAGATACGACAAAAACTGTAAATGGACAACACAAAATCCTGCAGCAGCGCACAGCCACAGCATTTCTGTTGCATGAAATGGAGCAGGCAGTGCAAATCTGTATAGTACAGCACCTTTCCAAATTATTACCTTTAAGAGACCAGGAGCATTTGCAGGATGGAGGGATGCTTTCAGTAGGTCCCTCAGAGCTACCTCAAGCTTCCTGTTAAAAAGACACTGTGGACTCCACCCATCCCTCAACCAAGCTGAATAAAAACCTAGCTCTTTTAGCATATTTCCAGACAAAGATGCACTCAGACCAAAATTCCTGTAAGGGTTGAATACAAAATGGATAACCCCAAACTTCAAAGATGCTATTTTTCTGCAAGAGCAGAGAGGTACAGGGATGATAGGCAGTTGATGGGAATGCAGGCAGAAGGGAAGACATCAGTAAGGTAGAACGAGCTTGCAGGCCAGAAAAGCACATTGAAGGCTAATAGACCAAAACTTCTGTTAGCAGAAAAGCACTCATCCCCAAGAAACCACTTCCTATCTTATTCTCCCCATCCCCTCCCCAGTAGCCTTCTCCCTGCTGTAATTCAGAACAGCCAGGCAACTGATCTCTAACCATACATCAGAGAATTGGCTAATACAATGTCACCCGGCCCACCACATGAACAAAAACCACCAACGAATCCAGCTGGTGGTTAACTGCAAATTTCTGCTTTACTCATGGCATTATACTGCTGAGGATTCCCTCACCTTTGCACATACACTGCCCTGCTAGAAACACCCTCTGCTCAAACTCAGATTTACAAATACATGTACAGATATTCTACACATCTGCTTCCACCTGGTGGATTACCAGAGATGGAGACTGCAGCGTTTTTAAAACAAACACCTAAACCCACCTCTAAAATTAGCTGAATAGCAAATCTGTTGACAAGAGCAGAGGGGAACAGTGATTTGGCTCGGGGTGGGGAGGGGGAAGCTTGCAAGAAATGCAATAGGGATTGCTAAACTGTTTAATCCACTTGGAAATTCATGTTTTTCTCTCTTGGAAAACAAACCAAGAAAGGATTTTCCTCTCATTTTGAGGAGTCTGTCAAAATTGAGGGGGACACAGCTATTCAGTATTGCTCTGGCGTGTTTAACAGGAATAAACGACTTCAATCAAACGTCTTCTCAAGAACTTAAAATACTCTTTTCATAGTCTCCCCTTCCATGACCAAGAAAAAAAAAACAGTTTTCAAATGCATATTAAAATACATACTATATACACACACTGTGTATAATCAAAACAAAAGCCTAAAGTAATCCATTAATTACCACCCATAACTAAGGATTTAACACTTCAGCAAAGCAAATGAGAACTGTCAGGGAGTATCCTGAGATACTCACTGTTGTACAACCTCTTGAGCTTGGTTTCTATACGTTTCCTTGCTGTGATACCTGCAAATGCAGCTTTGCAGTAACTTCCAGTTCCATTTTCACATGCATATTTTTAAAGCCAGCAGCCGCCTTTGCCCTGCATATACAGCATCAGGGGTATTTCGCTCGCTGTGGCCCAAGCTCCCAGAAAAGCCCGCTCCAGAAACCCTAGGTGTGGCACATTCTTTTTTGCTCTAGGTACTCCTCCTGACTGGAAGCGAACGTAAATATTACTCCAGCCTCAATCTGTTTTCCCCTTGTACCCACTGCAGCTTAGTAAGATACAGTCAGGAGACTGTTGCAAGTTTCACTTCAGGGCTCATTACAAATCAAGGCCTCAGTCTAGCTAATAAATTGATACCAACAGATGTATTCTATGGAGGGGACCCCATAGCTTTCAACAGAAGCTACAAAGGTCCCAGTGCAAGCTGTGGTCTGCAAGGGACTGCTATGTAGCCCATGCAACAGGAAGTTTGTTTGCATCACATGCACAGGTATTTACCAGCTTCTGGGACTTTGTTTTTATTTGGGAAACCAGGATGTTTGGCAAGGTGTGCAAATCCTGTCAGACAACTTTCAAGTACCCTTACTCCATATGGAACAGAAGTGCCTACAAAGTAAAGCACATTCACAAGAACAGTGTTTTCATCTTAGGCTGACAAACCCCTCAACCAGAAAGACATTCTCTACCTATACCTGCACATCACAGGCCAGAAGAAACAGGCACACATTCCTCACATGCATTTTGCATGTGGAAGAGCAGACAAATAGACGTCCACAAGATCACTAAACCTGTTCTAGGATGCCAACTTCAGTACTGACAGAGCTGAAGAACTAACTAACCCTGGTCTGGAGTAAGAGGGGCTTGAGGGTGCTGGGCTTCCACTGAGTCATGCACAGCCCCTTTCACTATCCATACAGCAACAGACATTAAGAGTGGAATGCACTGGAGAAATCATCATTGGCAATGATTATCAGCTATGATAATCAATAGCTAGCTTATTCAGTCAATAGCTACAACTGCAATCTCCCACCACTCACTTCACCCCTCCCAAGTCTCAATGCCCCTGCATTACAGCATTGGGAAGAACCAGTTGGACTCTACCCCCCCTTTTTTAGAGATTCTAGGTTTGTTGTGATTTTTTTATTGGAAAGAAGAAAAAAAAAAAGAACCTGAAGTTCTTTCTTCCTTAGCTGCATTCTTAGAAATGGATGGAGATTTATTTTTATTACTTATTTTTCTTTCAACCCAAACAAATGTGGCCTGAAGCTAAACACCTGACTTAGTGTTTCAGCACAAAGCTTGGTAAAGCTGCCTGCAAAAGAAAGGACCCCTAACAAAGCTGCCTGGTGATCTCCAATTGCAAACCCTCCTGGCAGCCCAGCTTCTTTCATGCAGAGGATCCTCTGACTTTCCCCCTCCTTTTCTGTCAATGATGACTCTCCCAGTATATCTGGAAATTAGGAAGCTACGTTCTCTAAAAACCAGTATGCTCAGGCCCAGTAATCCCTGCTCCAAAATGGTGGAAGAGGACAGTCTGACATCTCAGCAGAGTAAGTCTCAGACTATGCTGGTGGAACTGCCAGCAAACATTAATGTGTATTTTCTTCCTCGAGTACAGTTGCTGTCATAGCCCCTCATTTCAAAAGTCAGGAGAGATTTTCAACGCATTTTTGGGGTTACTGACTTTTAAGCCCGGAGGATAAACTCCACTCGTGGTTGTTCACAAGAAAGAAAATGCTTGCCTGGAAAAAGAAAGCATCAAAAAACTGCAATTCTCTCACAATCACTCAAGCTCAAGAACCACAGCCTTAGCACTGCCAGTTTCCCATCTCATTAAGTGTCTTGCAATACTTGTTTTTGTAATTGTTTTCCATGCTGTCTACACAAAAAGCTATCTCGGAAGCCAGAAGAACTACATTCCTTAAACATGGACCCTTTCCAGACTCACCCCAAACCTTTCTGTGCTTAAGGTCCTATACATACATGAACGCACAGATTGCTACAGGCCCAGCAGTTAATTCATTTTCAAGCTGCCCTAATTTTGAGGCTAAACACTTCCTAAACTTCTCCATCCCTGATATTTCCCTTACCTCTTTCAGGGAAATCAAGGTGCTTCCTGCTTTCCTCCATTCAGTCGCTAAGACTCCACTGCAACCTACCAAGCTGCTCTCCCATAAGCCACGTAAGAGTGCTACCATGCATGCAGAGTGCAATTCACGTTAATAACTACATACACAGCATGTTTCTTTCCAAGAACCTTATAGTGAGTAGCTGCCTTTTCTCCAGTTTTCAGCTGTTAAGACACAGACACCTCCTCCCCCTCTTCGCTCATCACCTCCACTCAGAAAGGCTGAAGCTCACTCGATCGCATGGTAGATGGCAAGGCCTTTGAATCAGTGGTGCTAGCTGGTCTTGAACCAGTCTGGGTAAGGTTCAGACAAGATACAGAGTACAAACACTCCTCTACAAACTTTAAAATCCAAATGCAAATTCTCCGCCCATCACCTTCAATGTCAGGCAGTAATAATGCCAATAAAATAAGGCAGACTATGAAAGGCCATCACCTACCTGTCTGGGGTTCAATGATTGCTGATAACTCCTGAGGAGGAAAGGACAGCAATCCAGCCACCAGTGGTGGTTGCCTCTCTCAGCCTCTCCACCAGACCCTGCCCTACTGGCAGGCCCCTGTTCAGCTCACTGGAGTTCCTCTGTCTCCCAGACATAAAACAAATATAAACAAATAACGGCTGAACGCCACTAACAGCAGCTTGAACTCAGCAGCATCCATGCTCTCTCCTCCTCCTCCAGTGATGCCACATCCTGGGGCTCAACACCACCAAATTGGAGGTACAGTGAAGAATAAACCGGTGGTCACTTCCCGGGGTCAAAGTGTACCTACAAATGTACACTCATAATGTGATATGCATTTATTTTCTTTGCATACACAACATCCTCTATGCCTAAGTCAAGACAAACTCCATTGTGGAAAGCTTTTTAAGAACAAAAAAGCCCCCTCCTTCCGATTTTTGTGCAAGAAGAAAATCCTCCAGTACTCCCTTTGTGTGCTCAGGGCCCTGAAAGCTGCCAGAAATAGCCTAAGGATGGGGAGAGAAGGAAGATTTCTGTGATGAACCCTACTTTTCAAAAGGCTTTAGAAATAACTGTATGATCAAACAAATGCAATGCATTGCTCAAATCAGTATGCAAACTCAGAGGGTAAATCATTTTAAAAATCATTATGGCTTTAGATTTTCTACTTCTAGTTTATTTACAGATTTGACAGCAAAGGACAAATGGTGGAATAAAATTACTTTTCAACCTCAAGATACAATTAACACAGGAATCAGTACTTTTGCATCTTTCCAATACATTTGTATCATAGACTCAGTGGTGCAAACACAAGGATGCATACCTGCAAGGTTCATAACCACACCTTTGCACTAAAAAGATTACTGAGCAATCTAACAAAAGGGTGTTTACTTTTAGTGCATGCAATTCTGTATCACTCAGCCCATTTGCAACCTCTAATACTGATACCATTTAACACTGGAGACAAAGGAACCCATGTTTCTCCACCAATCAGATGTAGTAAATCCACAGAAGACAAAACAAAACTAGACAAGAGACAGGAGAATCAGGCCTTTAGGATGCTGCACTACTGTCTCCTGCCTGGTTAATTTTGATGAGTTTGTTGAAGCACAGCCTTTAGCCAAGTG